TGAGGACTTCAACACGGAGAATTGGTGGTCTGACACATAAAGTGAGGACTTCAACACAGAGAATTGGTGATCTGACACATAAAGTGAGGACTTCAACACAGAAAATTGGCGGCCTGACACATAAAATGATGACCTCAACACGGAAAATTGATGGTCTGACACATAAAGTGATGACTTCTCAACACGGAGAATTGGTGGTCTGACACATAAAGTGAGGACTTCAACACGGAGAATTGGTGGTCTGAAACATAAAATGAGAACTTCAACACGGAGAAATGGTGGTCTGACACATAAAGTGAGGACTTCAACACGGAGAATTGGTGATCTGACACATAAAGTGAGGACTTCGACACAGAGAATTGGTGGTCTGACACATAAAGCGAGGACTTCGACACAGAGAATTGGTGGTCTGACACATAAAGTGAGGACTTCTCAACACGGGAGAATTGGTGGTCTGACACATAAAGTGAGGACTTCAACACGGAGAATTGGTGGTCTGACATATAAAGTGAGGACTTCAACACGGAGAAATGGTGGTCTGACACATAAGTGAGGAAGTCAACACGGAGAATTGATGGTCTGACACATAAAGTGAGGACTTCTCAACAAGGAGATTTGGTGGCCTGACACATAAAGTGAGGACTTCAACAGAGATAATTGGTGATCTGACACATAAAGTGAGGACTTCAAAACGGAGAATTGGTGGTCTGACAAATAAATTGAGGACTTCAACACGGTGAATTTGTGGTCTGACACATAAAGTGATGACTTCAAAACGGAGAATCGGTGGTCTGACACATAAAATGACGACTTCAACACAAATAATTGGTGGTCTAACACATAAAGGGAGGACTTCTCATCACGGAGAATAGGTGGTCTGACACATAAAGTGAGAACTTCAACATTGAGAATTGGTGGTCTGACACATAAAGTGAGGACTTCAACACGGAGAATTGATGGTCTGACACATAAAGTGAGGACTTAAACACAGAGAATTGGTGGTCTGACACATAAAGTGAGGACTACAACACAGAGAATTGGTGGTCTGACACATAAAGTGGGGACTTCTCAACACGGAGAATAGATGGTCTGACACATAAAGTGAGGACTTCAACACGGAGAATTCGTGGTCTGACACATAAAGTGAGGACTTCGACACGGAGAATTGGTGGTCTGACACATAAAGTGAGGACTTCTCAACAAGGTGAATTGGTGGTCTGACACATAAAGTGAGGACTTTTTAACACGGAGAATAGGTGGTCTGACACATAAAGTGAGGACTTCAACACGGAGAATTGGTGGTCTGACACATAAAGTGAGGACTTCGACACGGAGAATTGGTGGTCTGACACATAAAGTGAGGACTTCTCAACAAGGAGAATTGGTGGTCTGACACATAAAGTGAGGACTTCTCAACACGGAGAATTAGAGGTCTGACACATAAAGTGAGGAGTTCAACACAGAGAATTGGTAGTCTGACACATAAAGTGAGGACTACAACACAGAGATTTGGTGGTCTGACACATAAAGTGAGGACGTCAACACATGGAATTGGTGATCTGACACCTGAGACTTCAACACGGGGAATTGGTGGTTTGTGGTCTGACACATAAAGTGAGGAATTCAACACGGAGAATTGATGGTCTGACACATAAAGTGAGGACTTCTCAACACGGAAAACTGGTGGTCTGACACATAAAGTGAGGACTTCAACACGGAGAATTGGTGGTTTGACACATAAAGTGAGGACTTCAACACGGAGAATTGATGGTCTGACACATAAAGTGAGGACTTCTCAACACGGAGAATTGGTGGTCTGACACATAAAGTGAGGACTTCAGCACGGAGAATTGCAGGTAGGACACGTAAAGTGAGGACTTCAACATGGAGAATTGTTGGTCTGACACATAAAGTGAGGACTTTTACACAGAAAATTGGTGGTCTGACACCTGGGACCAACACGGGGAATAGGTGGTATAACACATAAAGTGAGGACTTCAACACGGAGAATTGGTGGTCTTGCATATAAAGTGAGGACTTCAACATGGAGAATTGGTGGTCTGACACATAAAGTGAGGACTTCAACACGGAGAATTGGTGGTCTGACACATAAAGTGATGACTTCAAAACGGAGAATCGGTGGTCTGACACATAAAATGACGACTTCAACACAAATAATTGGTGGTCTAACACATAAAGGGAGGACTTCTCATCACGGAGAATAGGTGGTCTGACACATAAAGTGAGGACTTCAACACGGAGAATTGGTGGTCTGACACACAAAGCGATGACTTCAACACGGAGAATTGGTGGTTTGACACATAAAATGAGGACTTCAACACAGAGAATTGGTGGTCTGACACATAAAGCGAGAACTTCAACATTGAGAATTGGTGGTCTGACACATAAAGTGAGGACTTCAACACGGAGAATTGATGGTCTGACACATAAAGTGAGGACTTAAACACAGAGAATTGGTGGTCTGACACATAAAGTGAGGACTACAACACAGAGAATTGGTGGTCTGACACATAAAGTGGGGACTTCTCAACACGGAGAATAGATGGTCTGACACATAAAGTGAGGACTTCAACACGGAGAATTCGTGGTCTGACACATAAAGTGAGGACTTCGACACGGAGAATTGGTGGTCTGACACATAAAGTGAGGACTTCTCAACAAGGTGAATTGGTGGTCTGACACATAAAGTGAGGACTTTTTAACACGGAGAATAGGTGGTCTGACACATAAAGTGAGGACTTCAACACGGAGAATTGGTGGTCTGACACATAAAGTGAGGACTTCGACACGGAGAATTGGTGGTCTGACACATAAAGTGAGGACTTCTCAACAAGGAGAATTGGTGGTCTGACACATAAAGTGAGGACTTCTCAACACGGAGAATTAGAGGTCTGACACATAAAGTGAGGAGTTCAACACAGAGAATTGGTAGTCTGACACATAAAGTGAGGACTACAACACAGAGATTTGGTGGTCTGACACATAAAGTGAGGACGTCAACACATGGAATTGGTGATCTGACACCTGAGACTTCAACACGGGGAATTGGTGGTTTGTGGTCTGACACATAAAGTGAGGAATTCAACACGGAGAATTGATGGTCTGACACATAAAGTGAGGACTTCTCAACACGGAAAACTGGTGGTCTGACACATAAAGTGAGGACTTCAACACGGAGAATTGGTGGTTTGACACATAAAGTGAGGACTTCAACACGGAGAATTGATGGTCTGACACATAAAGTGAGGACTTCTCAACACGGAGAATTGGTGGTCTGACACATAAAGTGAGGACTTCAGCACGGAGAATTGCAGGTAGGACACGTAAAGTGAGGACTTCAACATGGAGAATTGTTGGTCTGACACATAAAGTGAGGACATTTACACAGAGAATTGGTGGTCTGACACCTGGGACCAACACGGGGAATAGGTGGTATAACACATAAAGTGAGGACTTTAACACGGAGAATTGGTGGTCTTGCATATAAAGTGAGGACTTCAACATGGAGAATTGGTGGTCTGACACATAAAGTGAGGACTTCAACACGGAGAATTGGTGGTCTGAGACATTAAGTGAGGACTTCAACACGGATAATTGGTGGTCTGACACATAAAGTGAGGACTTCAACACGGAGAATAATAAACGTTTTGTCTGTTTGTTTTAAACATAAAATTTAGAATGAAAATGGGGAATATGTCAAAGAGACAACAACCCGACCAAAGAGCAGACAACAGCCGAAGGCCACCAATGGGTCTCCAACGCAGCGAGAAAATTCCGCACCCGGAGGATGCATTTTTTGTACATAAATTAGACTGTTAGTTTTCTTGTTTGAATTATTTTACATTTGTCATTTCGGGGCCTTTTATAGCTGACTATGCGGTATGAGTTTGTTCAATGTTGAAGGCCGTGCGGTGACCTATAGTTGTTAAATACTATGTCATTTGGTCTCTGGTGGATAGTTGTCTCATTGGAAATTATACCACATCTTTTTATTTTTATATTTATAAGTTTCATTTCATTTAGTGTATATGTATAAATATTTATAAAATATGAGCCAGTAGTTTGCCTCGGAAACTGCCCAAATATCCCTCTTAAACAAGATATATCTGATAAATTACACTAAATATTACATATATATGGTTTGATTTAAATTTCTTGTTTCTCATTGATTTTGTTGGTCACGTGTTTCCCAATATATATATTGTATTTTTACACTATTTTGACATATTGACTCGGCGATAATATTTTTAAAAAGAGCATTGACCCCATGTTACTAAAAATAGTAACATCGAGTCAATATAATTTCCAAAAATAATAACATAGAGTCAATGTCATTTTTAAACATTCACTATTTATATATATGTAATATATAAAATGAGGACTTTCACTCAGTCAATATGTTATATATGAATCTGTTAGATTATATTGAACCTCGAACTTCGTCCTCAGTCGAGAAAATTCGAACAGGTCAATATAAAACGTACTGACCTTAACAAAAGTCCATAATTGACAAACGTTTAACATTCGATTGTAATCGATTATTCTTTTGTTATAAAGACGTAAGCGAAAACAATGGCATTTGATAAAACGCATTATGCCTCAGACTTTTTCCAATTCATAGCTGGGACTATTCCCATTTCGTAGTAATAAATAACTTTGTTAACGTCTAGATATATATATCATTTTCTCAAATACAAAGAAAATTATGAAAGAATGTATATATCCTATTTGAATATTTAAATTTTAAGGAGATAAAAAATGACTTTATCAAAGTAAATATCACACTGATCCAAAAAAATGAGTGCTCACGTGCCTGTGACATCATAAGAACGCTGGAATTATTTCAATTATTTTCTCCAAAGATTTAACTCTCAAGGCGGGAGAAAAAAATATTCAAACACATAAAGGTAGTTAAAACAAATATTTCTAACGGAATAAGGGACCAACGTTTTTAATTAAAAAAAAAGAAAACAAAGGTGTTAAAAATGTTATTCTTTATCAACAGACAATGACGTTATCATACTACTATAAAACTTTTTACATTCAGTCCTAAATCGTTGGTCTACAATGAAGTAAATAATTGGATGAACAGAACTATGTAAATAATAGCCTCTAACTAAAACAGAGTATATTGATCGGACACCTTTTAACGCGTCAGTTGTTCGTAGGATAACAGCAGAGACATGTAGAATGAAACCAGCGAAAGATACTCCAGTTGCTATCAATAGCATTATAGTCATAGTTCTCGAGTCTTTATAGCGCTTTTGTCGCGTCTTTCTTCTTTGTATCGTGGAAGTGAACTGGTCCCAAGCTTCTGGAGTAAGGCTCTCTGATCTGGTCCTTGGTCCAGGGGATGCTGGATCTTCATTGTTAGACATTCCGTCGAAATACTGTGTCGTTCTGTTTTTTTCTGCCCGAAGTTGTTTTCTTATTACATTGACAATCTGAATATAAGCGACAGCGCATATGAAGAATCCTATGAAGCAGACGACAAAAACCAATATGGCGTAGGTTGTTGGCATTAAGTTTTTCTTTCCTCTAAGGAATGTACAACCTTTATCAAATGTTTCTGCATCATTTACAACTATTTCTGAAAAGCCATATAAAAAGACGGACGGAATAGACATAAAAGCACATACTATAGTAACAACTATCCCTAATATTTTAGCTCTTTCGAGAGATAACTGCCACTGGAATGGCGCGCATATTTTTTGTCGTCGTTCAACTGATATTATAATGAGTAAGATACCAGCAATAAAACTCGTATAATTAGTAAGAAAACGAGTAAATTTGCATAATACATCTGATGGATATGTGTATTTGAAGCGTATCTGCACCAGTTCTAGAGGAATACACACGAAACACGTTACGAAATCAACCACAACCATCCATAAGATTAGAATTGTAACGGGAGATACCGGGTACCTACGAAATATGACAATAGCATGAAGATTCCCGATAACTCCAAGTAACGAAAGAACACTAAGAATAGACATTACTGGAATGTCGTTGTTTAGGAAATTCTGGAGATCTATTTCCACAAGATTGTTGTTGTCTGTTGTATTTAAGTGATATGAACCTGTTGTAATGGTTGAATTCTTAATATCCATAAAAAAGCTATGAGTAGTGTTGACTTCCATCCTAGATATTAAAATAAAATAACTTAGTTAAAGATAGAATATAATCAGTTTAAACAGACCTTAAGGTTGGTATCTGAATAACGTAAGCTACACTTTGCCTAGAAATGGTTCATGTAAAATTGAGAATGGAAATGGGGAATATGTCAAAGAGACAACAACCCGACCAAAGAGCAGACAACAGCCGAAGGCCACCAATGGGTCTTCAATGCAGCGAGAAAATCCCGCACCCGGAGGTTGTCCTCAGCTGGCCCCTAAATAAAATTGTGTTTGTATTTCCATAGCAATTTTAAAGACGGAGTTCAACTTTTATTAGAAAATTATCCGACTAGGTGTACAATGGCAATGTTTGATCAACGCTATTTTATTAATTATCTTAACAAGATTATCTCAAATTATTCCCATCGTAAGAACTTAAACGTTGGAAATAAGATTAATGAAAATCTAAACGTAAGTATAAAAACATATGACCCAAAGAAGAAGTATCTTTTGTAATAAAACTTACCCTTTCATTCTATAAAACTATAAACCAGATCATGAGAATAATGGTAAATGAAAAGTAAATCTGATTAAATAGGATGAAACATAACAGTACTTGACGTACGTTTCCTTCCTTCTTTGTATACATACTTCCTTGTGTCGTGTAATGGAAATAAGTAAATAAAACATAGATTATCTACTAAATAATTATAGTGAGATTATCTTTTGCACGTCATCTTTAACATGTTTAATAGATTTGGTTTTTTTATGATACGAGGATATTTTGTGACTGTTGTGTATATCCCCCTAAATAAATGATAACAGAAAATTTAAACTATTAATAAATACTAAAGATTTTCTACCGCAGTAATCAATTACTTGATCTGTATTGGAAAACCTTTCGGAAATTTTGGTCCTCGATGCTCTTCAGATTCATCATACTTTATTTGACCTTTTAACTTGTTTGATTCGAGCGTCACTGATGAGTCTCTTAAAATTGTAGACGAGACGCACGTGTGGCGTACAAAATTATAAGCCTACTATCTATGATGAGTTTTTCTATTCTTTCATCTTAGTTTGTTCCATATGTAGGATTTCCTATACAATGTCACATTATGTGGTTTCATAGGTTAGAAATAAAATAAGCATACATGACGTACACAATCATTGAGGTCGGTACAAGCACTGAAATACTAAATATTGTATTTTCATGTACAAATGATATATACAATTTCAATTTTTCAAGCAGTGTATAAACTGTGGGAAAAATTTGTTGAAAATGCGTTTTAATTCATAAGGAAACTAAACTATGGAAAAAATATGTTGAACTATTCGTTTTAATTCATAAAAGATACTTGTCATTAAGTTTCAGTTTCAGACCAGGATAATCGTAATTGTTTATGATTTGGAATTTATGACAGATGATTATCTATTTGAATCGATTTTCTCTGATATTAATCCCCTTCCCTTCCCATAAAGTGGACTGTTATTTCAATTGTCTATATAGTTCTTTTTCTATGTGAATTTTTCTTTATTTAACTTTTTTTCAATGACTTCACCGTCATTAGGGTAAACAATAAAACATACACGTGTTTAGTTAATGTTTGTCGATATACTACTACTACTGGTTCTTCGATATACTACTACTACTGGTACTTCGATATACTACTACTACTGGTACTACTATACTACTACTACTGGTACTTCGATATACTACTACTACTGGTACTACTATTTGTCAAAAACTTTAAAATTCGTAATGACCATAGCATCATAGATGAGTCATCCAATGGTTTCGGACATATTGGCTTTTTTGTAGGTATTGAATTGCTAAACCTATATGCCATAAATAGTTTCTACTTAAAATTTTCAGACTTGCAGTTGGGTTCCTGGTTCGTATATCTTAGAATACATAATCTTTACTACATATATATATATGATAGTCTGTATGGGGTTAAGAATTAAGATATATTTTCTTCGTGATGAAATGCGAGTTATTTTTTACAACCTATGCAGCAATATTTTGAAATTGACTAATTTACCGTTTATATAAAAATAAGGAGATGCGGTATGAAGGTCAATTAGACAACTACCCACCAAAGTTCAAATGGATAATTAAATTATTCGAAAAGGTTTCCAAATTTTCACAAATTTTGATGTAAAATGACGGTGGCCATACATACTATAAACAAGCTCCGTTGGAAGATAGTCGTACCACCACCATTTAACAGGTATTCCCGCCCCCATATACATATATATTTTTTATACATACTCTGGAGTCAAAAGTCGGTCAGGGGCGTAGCTACCTTCTTAGTAAAGTGGAATCACAAACTAAAGGGCGAGGGGTCTTGGAGCCGCCAAAGGTTGGGGGCCAGGGGGCGAAACCCCCGGAAGCTCCGCATATATAGCGTTTCAAAACAATCACAACCGTAATAAAACTTGTACATTTTTGTTGTGGTTTTTTGGTCAACTAGATATAGGAAGATGTGGTATGAGTGCCAATGAGACAACTCTCCATCCAAGTTACAATTTATAAAAGTAAACCATTATAGGTCAAGGTACGGCCTTCAACACGGAGCATTGGCTCACACCGAACATATTTGTTTAACTTCGAATCGAATGAAGACTAAACATTGTCGTTTGCGTATTTTTGTACGCCGTGAGAGCTTTTAAAATCACGGAGATTTGTTCCATATGCTAGTATTTGTATTGAGCAAAGTAGATATATAAAAAAAGAACAATAAACATAAACACATTACTATATGTGGAGTTTCTGTTAGCATAAACATCATTAGATACCAAATACTTGGTGGATACATTCTATAATATTTTGCTGAACATATGCATTTAGATGTTTAAAAAAATTGTGGGTAAACTCTACAAGAGAGAGATAGGAATTTCTAATTTTGCGCAGTTAGGAATTCTCGAGGTTGAAATTAATGAACTTTTTCAGAGTGAATGGTACTTTGATCTTGATCTTTTTTCATGATCTGCGCTTGTTAATTATCCAGCTGATAAGCAGATACTTATGCATTCGACCAGTTGTATGGAAATATCTAGATGATAACAGCGAAGATACGTGTATTAAAAATTTGGTGTCTCTTTCGAACAAGAATCAGCAGTTTAGTGTCCGACTCGGACAGAAAATTCATTATGAAATTGAATGACCAAATAGTCCAGTAAAACGAGTTAGAATTAACAATTTATTAAATGCTTTTACAATCAACCATTCGTATAGCCAGCCCATATAGAAACGACTTCGAATTATAGAATCTATATACAAGATGTTTTTTGTAAAATGAATAAAAACAAAATACATGTACATGAAAATGTGTCATTTTTTACAATAACAGCAGTTCCAACTTCTCATCTACTAGTATACGGAAAATGATCTACTGTGGATTCATTTATTTTCGTGGGTATCAATTTTCGTGGATTGAGGAACACTTGCATTTTCGTGGATATTTGATTTCGTGGTTTTGCCAATCTCTACATACAAAGCCAAATTAACATTTGTAAATTCGTTGAACATTTGAATTCGTGGTTCACCTGTACCCACGAAACCCACGAAAAGTGGTATCCAACGAATAATAATGAATCCACAGTATTGTGTTGTCCAGACCTACATACTTAGTCAATTTTGAACTAGTTCACAAGGGCGTAACAGTCATTATTCCCGGATCGTGCGCTTTTGGGCGAACCGAAAAATAATGATTTTCAAGTTTTTTTGTTAACCCTAAATAGATTATGTTTTTTTTTTGCACTCAAGGCGAGTATACATTATGGTGGTGGTACCGACAACAATGTAGCTGGTATTTTCTAAACAGTGCCCGTAATATAAAAAGTTCCTCTAAGTTTACACCAGTTGTATGTATTTATCGTACACATACATGTCTTACAGAATTAAAAATTTCGCTGCATGTGTTTTCCTCTTGCTTTTATTCTTTGTGAAGTTTTTAAAATAAATACATAGAAAGACCAATTCTTATATTATATGATAACTTTGTTCCTCTCTCTCTCTGTTGGGGGGGGGGGGGGGGGGACGTGGATGCACGTGCTGTCGTGCCTCCGGGTAGCTACTCCCCTGTCGGTAATATGAAAACAGTTATTGTGACTTTTGATTTATAAGATGACAATGCAAGTACCCCTGTAGATTTAAATTACGTGTACAGATAATTTTTATCTACATTTTTCAAACATGTTTTTAAGTAAAGACAAATAACATAGCTTCAATTACTATTTCAGCCCTAGGAAGAGCCTTTAAAACAACTGTTGTTGAATGTCGTCTGTTTGTTTGGGATCTGTAATCATAGAAACGTCTGGTTTAGGATTTTAACATTATATTTTTAAACAAATTTTGACCCTTCGTGAACGTTCTCCTATGAATGAACTAAGATTTCCCTCATTATAAGATAGACGTCGTGAACGTTCTCCTATGAATGAACTAAGATTTCCTTCTTTATAAGATAGACGTCGTGAACGTTCTCCTATGAATGAACTAAGATTTGCCTCATTATAAGATAGACGTCGTGAACGTTCTCCTATGAATGAACTAAGATTTGCCTCATTATAAGATAGACGTCGTGAACGTTCTCCTATGAATGAACTAAGATTTCCCTCATTATAAGATAGACGAGTAAGGCGTAAAACAATAGGATTCATCCTCAATGTTAAAGTGGCTGTACTTTAAAGGCGTAAAACAATAGGATTCATCCTCAATGTTAAAGTGGCTGTACTTTAAAGTCACTACCATGCCAATAACTGCACAAGCTTTTATTATAACGTTGTTTTTAAGGGATTTTCATCCAAAAGTAGCTGGTTTATAGGAAGTCGACATACATTTCCTGTAATATACTTTGAAGTTTATTATTTTCGGAACTTCTTATTCTTTACTTAATGTTCATCTTGTACAAAGTTTTATCTTAAAAGTGTATTTTACGATAGCTAAATAATAACTAGAATACCATGTTCATTTTTATTTTCAAATTTAAGCCTAAATGTTTTTGAAAGTCGGTAGCTTCAAACATTCACAGCTTAGCATAAACATACCATACATATATTTTTATGTTGTAATGTTACACTACTGTCTCAGGTTAGGATGAAGTTTGGGCGACTGTTAAAACGTTTAATCCCGCTGCATTTTTATGCACCTGTCCTAAGTCAGGAGCCTGTTGTTCAGTGGTTGTCGTTTGTTGGTGTGGTTTCATATGCTTTCTCGTTTTTCGTTTTCATATAGATCAGACCGTTGGTTTTTCTGTTTAAATTATTTTACACTAGTCATTTTGGGGCCCATTATAGCTTGTTGTTCGGTGTGAGCCAAGGCTTCGTGTTAAATTGTTAACTTTTTATACATTGTGACTTGGATGGAGAGTTGTCTCATTGGCAATCATACTACATCTCATTATTTTTATACAGGAATAAGAAAGCGTTTGAAAATACAAGGTTACGTATAAGCACGGACAGTTCTAGTGTGGCTACTTGTTCCAATAGAAGAGGGTCTGTATTGATTTGGGGGGGGGGGGGGGGGGGTCTTCAATTTTGTATACTTAAGGTTAATTTCTCTGTTCTTACTTTTTGCTCGTTAAACTTCATTCTTTAAATTTGTATTTACAAATATTCTCTTCCATTTTCCC